CCCATCCGGCACCATCTGGGGAGCGCCTCTCCGCGCCCCATCCGCAGCAGGGCAGCGCCTCCGGCCCCGCCAGGCACAGCCCCGGGGCCGAGGGCTGCGCTGCGGCTGTCCCTTCCCTGAGCGGAACCCTCAAGGCCGCTCCGGCCGCGCCGTGCCCACAGTGGTGGCCGGGGATGGCTGCCCTAGCGCTGTGAGCCCCGCAGGAGGTTCTGGCTTCCTTCGGGGAGAAGAATAAAAAATTTATAAAAAGGAGGGGCGGTGGAAAGGCAAAAGCAACAACGGGAAGACCACGTTGCTATAACACACAGTTGCATTAAGGTCGTGTAAAACAACTCCGTGTCACTCGCCTAAACGTAGTGTGCAGGTGCATCAGCAGACAGTAGATAGATGTCTCAACAAATCCATTTGTTGTTACAAATAGGTTTATTTTGAGCAGTTTCAACATGTTACCATTCTGTGGGCTCACTTTTGAACTCTGCATTCGATCAACAACTAAAACTGTCCTACATAAGTGACAGTTTTTGTATAGGAATGACGAAGGAACCTACCTTTAGGATCACCCCAGTCAAGTGTAATGGTATATTCTAGAAATTCACTGACAATAACCCCAGACCTAAATTAACCTCCATGGCTTTTTCTCTGACCCCACTCAGCCTACTTTCCCCGTCTACACTTGCTTTGTGAGGGAAAGAAAATAAGGTTTATTTGCCTTGGCTTGGAGTCTGTGGCTTCTCTGCCTAGACAGCTCTCTTTGCCCAGCTGATGGAAGGGACCAGTCACTGCCACTTGCTTGCCCAGGAATATGACAGAAAAGCCTGTACAGCAGCTTAATCTATACTTCCACAAAGTCACTCACATGAGATGTTTTCAGTACTCTGTTGGCTGAGCACTGTTAGCTCTGCTGCCTCTTTTGCTAGGTCAGCCAAGAGACAAGGAAACCAAAATAAGCTCTTTCTAGCACTACCTTCCTCACCAAGAAAAACATGCTTACTCCTCCCCTACCCATGTGAATGCCTCTGTCCCTGGCCTGTGCCTGATGGCTTTCTTCTCCCTCCTGTTGCCAGTTTTCTGGGCAGCAATTCTGCCACAGCCTCAAGAACCAGAAGAGCTGGGCTTTGTCCCATGGCAAAATGAGCTAGGGGTGACCAGAACCAGGCTCACCAGCCTGGACAGAGTCCTGCAGCACGAGAGCACGGCAGGCACGAATGGACACACCCACACACGGTGAGGTGATGAACCAGGTCCACCCAGGTAATTCAGGTAGGAGCAGCAGGAGATGGTACCAGGAACAGAACTGGAAACACAGGTCCAAGGTTCACCCAGGAGATGAAGCAGAAGAGGGTGACACCTGTGACACAGCCAGGCAGGGACTGAAGGTGCTGGACAGTGTTGAAAAGGAGCTCTTGCACCCATACGTAAGAATTGGCAGCCCCAAAGTACTTGCTTGAGTCAAGGTCATCAAAGCCTCAGTGCACCTAGACTCCAGTTCTGTGGACTTGAAGAGGGATTATGAGTCAAAGTCCTGGACTTGATACCACTGTCCATCTCCTCCTCCACTGCTGGTTTTGGAATGAACTTTAGGAACAGGGGGGCAAAGCATGGCCATACAGATCGTGCTAAAAGCAGAACTTAGCAACTTCTCTAGACACTGTGAGAAGAGGCACATGGTCTTGATATGTAGGAAGGAAATGCCTGGGGAGAAAGCATGAAAGCATGAGTAGGTTGCAGAAGGTGACACCTAACTGAGGGGGTCCATCACAGATGAGAAGGTCTTGTGAATGTGTAGATAAGCCACTGAGACCATCAGTCACCAAGCTGATTTTAAAGACTTAAAGCAGAGCTTTCAGCAGCTCTGTCAGGATCACATTGGTGTCCTGAAGCAAAACGGATTTAGAAAAGACTGCGTAGAAAGAAATTTCCTTATCCCATAAGAATTTGAAAAACTTGGGGAAAGGCAGAGGCAATTGTCTTGAATAAAATAACAAATAAATACAACCTCCAAACTGAAAAATGCTATTCACATTTCAGTAATTTTGAAAATGTTGGAAATATGTCTAGGATGTTTCAAATTCTTTTTCTTAATTTTTTTTTTTTTCCCAGGGAAAAAAGGCCACATCAAATCATCAAATTCATGGCCTTCATCTTCTGAGTGACTTTTAGTTTGACTAGTTGGAGTTTTTCATGATGGCCAAGCACTTCCCGTCAGACTTCCCAGCACTGTGTTGTTGAGAATCACTAGTCCTCGACACCTGCACTATCCTGTGCCCATCCATCACAGACGGAACGCACCGGCACCTGCCCCAGCAGCCGCCACGCGATGCCCTTGCTCGCTTTCCTCCTGAGAATTCCCGGTCCTCGGGCCGGACTAATGGCCCCGAGAAGACTCCCCCGTTCACGGAGGAAGGCCCCAGCAGCGCCTTGTTCCCCACACCGCAGCCGCGGGGCGAGTTTCCGAGGGGGAGGAGCAGCGCGGGCTCCCCACGGACACCCACCGGGAAGCCGTTCCGCGCACGCCCGGCGGGCGGGGGAAGGAGCGGGCGGGGGGGACCGGCGGCGGCAGCAGGGAGGCGGCGACGGCGGGGCGGGCAGCGGGCCCGGGGCGTGGCGCGGTCCGGCGGCGCCGGGAGGCGGCTCAGTCCCCGCTGCCAGCCGAGGGCGGCCGGCCCCGCGGAGCAGCCGCCCAGCCCGGCCCGCCCCGCGCCGGAGCCGCCGCCGGCCGGCGAGGGCGGCAGCATGAGCGGCGGGCGTAGCGGGCGATCCGCCGTGAAGATGGAGGCGCCGTTTTACCCCGAGGAAGGACTGGAGCTGCTGCCCGACTTCGTGCCGCTGCCGGGTTTCGGTACCGCCGGCGGACCCGGAGCCGATGCGGCCGCCGGGCAGAAGCTGCTGCTGGGCGCCGGCAAGAAGCGGGACCTGCCGGCTGCCGCCCCCGCGCCGCTCCCGGGGCCCTTCGCCCTTCGCCCGCCTGCCGGCGCCCGCGGCAGCGCGGCGGCTCTGCGCTTGCTGCCGCCGCCGCCCGCCGCCGCCGCCGCCCCGCCGCCGACCGCGGGCTCCGCGGAGACCGGGAGCGCCGGCGGGGCGGCGGCGGCCCGGGGCGGCCCGGAGGCCGCGCTGGGCTCGGCTGCGGAGCTGCCGCTGCTGAAGCTGCCGCCGGCCGCCGACCTGGAGCAGCTGCTGATCCAGGGGGGTGCGGGGCTGGGCGCGGGCAGCCCAGGGCCGACGGCACCCGGGGCGGGGAGCGGCGGGGCGGCGGCGCCGGGGCCGTTCCTCTACCGGCAGCCGGTGACGCAGGAACAGGAGGGTTTCGCCGACGGCTTCGTCAAGGCCCTGGCCGACCTGCACAAGCAGAACCAGCTGCTGGCGGCGCCACCGCCGCTCTCCGCGCCGGGACCCTGCTGCACCGCCCGACCGGGGCCGCCGGGAGCCCCCGCCGCTGCCGCCGCCGACCCTCCGGCCGTCTACACCAACCTGAGCGGCTTCAACCCCGCGGGGCCGCTGAGCCCCTCGGGCAGCGCCTACCCCTCCGCCTCCGCCCCGCCGCCGCCGGGCCTGGCCTTCGGGGCGGCGGGTCTGGGGAGCGGCCGGCTGCCGCCGGCGCGGGCCCTGGAGGAGCCGCAGACGGTGCCCGAGGTGCCGCCGTCGGCGGGCGGGGAGGGCGGCAGCAGCGCGCCGACGCCGCCGTCGCTGTCGCCGCTGGACGCGGAGAGCCAGGAGCGGCTGAAAGCCGAGCGCAAGCGGCTGCGAAACCGCATCGCCGCCTCCAAGTGCCGCCGGCGGAAGCTGGAGCGCATCGCCCGGCTGGAGGAGAAGGTGAAGGCGCTCAAGGGGCAGAACGCCGAGCTGGCCGCCACCGCCAACCTCCTCCGCGCACAGGTCACTCAGCTGCAGGGTCGCGTCCGCAGCCACCTCTCCTCCGGCTGCCACATCAACGCCGCCGGGCATCCTCCTCCTCCTCACGCCGCCGCCCAGCCGCGGGAGGCTCCCCCCGAGGCGGCCGCCGCGCCGGAGAGCAGCGCCTGCTGAGGAGGGACACCCCGCCGGCCCCGGCCCCGGCCCACCGGGGCACCGCGGGGTCAAGGTGCGCGCCTGCTGCCGCCCTTCTGCTATTATTATTATTTTTATTATTAATAATTATTATTATTTATTTGCGTCCGGAGAAGGCGGTTGTTTTTTTTGCGGGAGCCAGGTGTTGCTAAGTGTTTCCCGAGTTCTGTCGATGTCGCATTCAGCAGCGAGGGTCTCCGTGGGTGGTTCTGGGGCAGGTGGTTGTTAATTTTTCAGTGAAGTACTTAAGGTCTGTAGAGATTTCTGAAAATAAGAAAATTACTGTTTACAGAAAGATTCAACTTTATTTTCATGGGGGATATAAAACGTGTGTTTCCTAATACACCTTACTGAACTGTATAGCAATGGATAAGCTTTTCAAACTTAAAAAAAAATAGCCAGAATCATACCTTTTGAAAATATGTGCGTGTATATATATATTTAAAACATAATATGACTATGTATATTTTCTTGGTATTGATAAAGAACCTTTTCTAAAATACTGTCTTTCTCTAGAGCTTTAATTTGCCATTGAGAGTTAAGACAGCTGTGTGGGTGCTCTTGCACTTAACATGGCTTTGATTTTCAAATCGAATCTTGGAGGGAAATGATTTTTGTTGTAAATCTTAAAGCAGATTGAAATGAATTGCTGACTCAGTCATAGGAAAATAGTTTTCTAAACCTGTATGCTCCATATTTCTTGTGCCAGTGCAAACTTGGGGCATTGATAGTTATTTATTGAAACTTGAACACTTTTTGGACGTTGCCTAGACCTTATTTTTCTAGATAACACGTTAGTAGAGAAAATGGTTACTTTGGCAAAAAGAGCTTTACTTTTTTTTCCTTCACTGTGTACATTCCAGTAGTGTGTGCTCTTTCCATAGTATAGTAACAATTCAGTGCTATACAGAAAAGGGCTCAGATTTGGGGTGGGTTAGCTGTAAAGGTGATAATTCCATTGTATTCTGTTTGAATAAATCACAGAAATATTATGGAGAACTAGATTTATTTTTCAGTAGAAATATGTGTATCTTGCTTCTTGGTCTACTTTGTTCTAAAGAAACTTTCTGCAATACTCTAGAGACAGTCAATGCTAGAATGTGAAGTGCTTTTCTGGTTGGGAAGATTCGGTGTGATTTATTTCTTTGTCGAGAATTTACTAGTAGAAGAGTATAGCAAAGGAACTATTTCTTCTGATTAGACATAATCCTCAATAAGTTTTTGAAAGCTTTAGGTCCCTTGCTGGGTGCCACTGCCTTCCATGCTTTTGCTGCAGCTGTGTTTTTTGGGCACAGCCGCGAGCCCTGTGGCGGTGGTGCGGTGGGAAGGGTCTGTCGGAGTGTGGTGGTCACCTCACCAGAACCCCTCCGTGCGCTGGGGGAAGGCAGGGCTTCTCCTGAGCAGATCCAGCTCCAGTGTGGGCCCCTCTTCCCTCATTGAAACTGTGCTAAAATTTCTCTGCTTGAACTCAGAGGCAAATCTTTCATGGGGATACGTGTCTGTGCCAGCTGGTGAAAAGGGGTAATCTGAGGAGCCAAGAGGGCATAGACATCTCTATGTATACAGCAATTGTTAAAGCCACTCAGGAGCTGGTAAACATCCCTTACCTCTTCTGAAGGCTACAGCTGATGATTTGAAATCCAATAAGAATGGGATAGGCTCACAGTTTTTCATGCTTTTATTGGGGATATGTGAGTGCTATCTGTTCAGAAAGTTGAGCTGCAGCAATCAAGTGTAGGAGCTTTTCCTTTTAGTGCAGTTGTTCCTGGCACATGTATGAAGTTATATGAGAATGGGTAGTTACACTGTTATTGTAGCTGAGATGGCTCTGAGGATTTCTTTTCTTAATGCATATGCAAATTAGGTAGAAGCCATATTAATCATTGTATAACTGTTTGATCATGTCACCAGAGCCTTTTTTGGTGGTTGAAATGATTGACTGTAACAGTACATTATGCTACTAGAATTACAAATGAGCAGATAAAAAAAATATTTTGATCTTAACACAGGTTTAAAGACTTCTTAGGGGCATTCTGAACCCTACTGCATACAATCTGTAGCACTGCCTGTTATATAATAACTGGGTGAAAAATACGGTGTTTTTCTTTGATAGTCATCATCCATGTGCAAAAATGCTGCAAGTCTGGAAAAACTGATAAAAAACTTCTTTCCCTCACACTTAACACTTTTCCCTAGTGAAAGAGGTAAAGCTGTCTGGTAGATGTGAGATACTTTTCTGCATATGTAATGAGGTGGGGTTTTTTTTTAAGGAATCCTGTAAAAAAATCTTAAGAAATTACATGGGTGAGCACCTCTACTTTGGTCCTTGTCTTTGTAAATGAGGGTTAAAGATCTGGTGGTAGAACACAGGACAATGGTAAATGCATCTGTGCAATATTTCTTTACTTACTTCATAATTTTTGCTCATAAAAAGTTAGCAATATCCAAGCAACATGGGGGATCCATGAGGCACAGGAAATCATTGCAGTTCCCCTTCCCAGACACGGCCAAGGCTCTAGTGGGCTATAGTCTACCACAGTTGTAATGAGCTCCCCCTTTCCAGTATGGTGATATTAAAGCTGACAACCACCCCACATGACCTCACTTGAGTTTGAACTTTCTGCAAGAGCAGTCTCACACCCAGCACCTCAAAGACCTCATGTGGTAACTTCTTTGACAGCCTGCTTTCTGTTCTGGCTGACATCTGTTCAGTGGTAGAAGTGGTGACAGGCCAGCTCTCTTACCCTGATGACTGATGAGAGATTACTAGTGAGGCTGGCAGCTCCAGCTCTCTGCCAGAGGCTACTGTTCTGGTAGTGGAGTCGTCCAAAAGAGATGAGTTTTCTGTAGAGTGATTGGTTACCTTCATAAATGCTTTTTTATCTGGCATTTAGGCTGAGAAACAGGATCTGACAGTGACATGACCAAAATTTGAGAATAGTGTTGGGGTGGTTGGATTTTTTTTTTCCTGTTTGGACTGGTTCTGCTAGAGGTTGCTGCATTTTTTTGCAGATATTTGAGTGCAAAGCCCAAGCACCTAACACTTTAAACCAATATAAGATGACTCAGGAGTACTTACCTGCTGCAGCTGTCAGACTTGATTGTTCCTGTCTTCTAAAACATATTAATACTCTGACTTTTAGCCCTGCAGTGTTCCTAAACTTTTAACTATGGCTTCTCTATTTTGTCTGCCTTTTTTCTTCAGTTTGTTGTTAAACATATGTGTCTTTTAGGCTTTTTGGTTTTCTGCCAAAAACTTTGGTCACTGTGAGACATTAAAAGATAGATACTGGGTAAAAACATTTCAGACTGTTTATATGATTTGCATCCATGTAGCTCCTTTTCAGTAACTCAAAGCAAGTTGGCTGTGTGTTACTGTAAGGGAAAAAAACCTACCAAAACCCCTCAAAAACAAAACCCAAAAAAAGCAAACAAAAAATTAAAATCCCAAAATAAAACAGTTATGTTCACTGTTAGCTCAGTGCTTTTTATAATTTTTCTTCATTCTTCAAAACTACCATGCTTTATTATACTTGTGCACACTATTTTCTATTGCAAAGACTCATGCTGTGTGACTTGATTTGCAGGCTACCCTCGTGTCCTTCCAATCTGGTTTTCAGTCTAGATGTGAACCCATGACAAACATCCCTCTTTGTTTCTTTGCCCCAGGTGTAATATGCTCTGGAGACTAAATAGTCTCCTCCTTTGTCTGTTTTGGTTGCTGGATGCTTGCTTCTGTACATATAGTTTTTTGCCCAGCAATTTTTGAATGTGCTTGAACCAATATCTTGGTTTAGATGTGAAGTGCCTTCTTATTTAGGTGCTACAGCAAAAGAGTTTGATTCCTATATGGCTTTGATTTATTTGACTTGTTATCAGATCTTTTCTGTCTTGGGAAGTAGGAGGGGGAATGTTTCCAGTAAGGGAAGACTTCCTTGGGCAGAGAGTGGAGCCCCCATCAGATCTGGCCCTGCTTGATGTGAGTGCAAGGAAGCCACTCTGATAACACTGACTCAAATGATGCCATTGAACAAAGTTCATTGGTTTGGTCTCCAGTGTAGTGAAGTCTCTTGGAATCACAAGGTCTCCAGACAGGTAGCTGGTGAGTTGTTCTTAAAACTTCTAATATGATTCCAGGTTGAGCCCACTTCGTATGCTTAGAGAGCCTTTCCAAAAGCAAATACTTTGCATACTTTGAGAATCATAGGTGTTCAGACGTGGTAAGTCCTGATCAGGGTGAGGAGTGATTCTGGTGCTGATGGTCATGTTTTCTGTTATAAGACTCTGATGGATTTCCAAAAGGTAAATATCTCAACACATCTGGACTCTTCACTGTGTGCCAGTAGTCACTACTGACTATCATGCTCTGTTTGAGATCAAGGGTGGCTTTAGACAGTTCTCTGTTACCTTGGTTTGTATTTGTATCTTTACAGAAGAAAGAATCAGGAGGCATCCTTCATTCCTTTAAATATCTGATTGACCCTCTCTCACCTTTGACAAAGGAGTGACCTCCCACATTAAGCCCTGAGGCATTCTGCAGTTTGCAGCTGTTAAAGTGGAAATTGATTTGGCAACTAATTTTTAATCAGTTGTATAAGTAATTGATGCTTCCCAAAATACTGAATAGTATTGTTTGATAGTGTCTGTAGTACAGGTGCCTACCAGGTCTGAATTACTAGTTGTGCTGAAAATAACATCTTGTCTGCTATAACTGGAGTCTTAACTATTTTAATCCAGCAGCTTCTTAGAGAAAATTTTTCTATATCTGAGATTAATATGCAAGAGGAAAAGATGTTACATCTGCTTGTAACATAGGTCATTCTTTGATGCATTTTATATGTCCTGCTTCTGGAGCACAAGTTAAAAAAGGAAAAGCAATTAGTAACATTTGAATTTATTCATATGTGCAGCTGTAACTGCTGCTGGATAATTTTGCTCTTTACTTACTTGATTCTCCAAGTTTCTATGTTTAGCAAGTAGACAAATTGGAGTATGACATATCTGTGTGCATATTTGATTTGTACAAAATCACTTCCATTTTTCCAGTTTTTCGTTTGAAGTTTTACTGTAAGAATGAGTGTTGAAGAGTTCTTACCCTATTTTGATGCTTGTTGGTCACTTCTTTTGATCAGTCGTGACTCTAGTCACTGCTCATCTTCCAGCAGAGGTGGACAGTAAAGTCTTTCAGGGATTCACCTCTTTCAGTATTTGGCAAGACAAAATATTTTTTCTGTATCAGCAGAAAAAATCTTGGACAGAGACCTTTCACAGTGCATAATAATCCTGCAAATGTTAACTCATCCTTCTCACACCACAGTCACTTGTTGTGGAGTTGCATCAGGGTTTAGTGTATCTGATGAAGAATAATAAATGTTCCTGTGACAAAGTGCAGAATCTGAAGTTTGTCAGAGCCTTGTTAATCTTGTTAATCTTGCCACACATGGTACAATTTTACTATGAAGATGTTGAATTAAATCTGAATATATGGAGACTCAGGCCTCTATGGTAACTTATGGGGGACAAGAGGTTTTAGTAATTCATGATTACTCCTCTTCAGTGTTTCAGAGGTCTGTCTCTTTTTATCCTGTTTCAGAGATCTGTCTCTTTTTATCCTGTGAAGTGTCTTGCAGCTGTTTGTGCTGTGAAACTTCTCTCTTCATGACGACACAGTAGCTTGGAGGCAGGACAGAAGCAACTTCTCCATGAACTGGTCATGTGTGACAAGCTAAATGTAGGTTTCTGAGAAACACTGCAACAGTGGGTGCACAGTGGAGAACCTTGTTTGTGTGTTCCTAAAAGAGTCCAGAAATGTATTCACATAAATCATAACAAGAGTGGCTTTCCGAGGCACCATCCTGTTGCCTTGCTACAAGCATTGATCCTTGCTGTTTGCCTTAGTCTCTTGCACTTTTTCCTAAGCTGTTTCATACCTGAAGGCTTACTTTCTCCATCAATGTCACAAACCATATCTCTGCTTGGATCTTGCATCAGTTGGCTTCAAACGGGTCAGTCAGAATGCCTTGCTCTAGTTGTCTTTGAAGGGTCCCACTGGGGAAGCAGTGGTGAGGAGGAAGGAAACCAATCTAGGATCTGTATCTTCACACCAGTGCTGTGTACTGAAATGCAACTTTCAGTTGAGTAGTCTTGACAAAAGGGTGTTACTGGTGTAAAAACTCTGAATCTTGATCTTGTGTCTGCAGGAGACATGAGTTCTTGTGCTGGAGTCGTGCTTGGGCGGTATCCTCTCAAGTCAGTGAAGAAACAGCAAATCCAGCCTTCTGGACTCCCAGCTAGTTCTTCTGAAGCACAGATGCCTTGAAATGTATGTCGAGGTGTTGTGTGTAGACACCAGCATGCATAGAGAAGGAGATGGCCAAAGGAAGGAACTGGGATTTTCTTAGCTGCAACAGCACACAATGGATTTTTTCATATGCTTTTGTTGTGCTCAAATTCTTCCAGAAGAAGACTAAACTGCATTTCTGTGTGTGATCACAAGGTGTTTTTTTAGATTTCCAGTCAAATTGGAGGACTGTCAAGCCTTGCATTGCTAAATTTACACAAAAGGAGAACTTACTTTGAAGTCACATTTAGCCTTAATGTTATCTGAAATGCTGCAGTTCATGTGTAGTAGTTTACTACAAGGTGAAATTATGATTATCATAAATAATGTTTTAAAGTAGGCACCCTAAATAATTACCTATGTGGTGTTTGCTTTATTGTCTGCTGTCAAGAAGTCTCTATCCATAACATAACTAGCTGTAAATTGAGCTTTGCTCTCAATTTCCAGTACTAGTAACGAAGAGTTTCAGGAGTAAATGTTCTGGATAAAGAATGACCATTTCTGTAGGAATGCTTTGAAGTGATGGTTGGGTTTGAAGCCTTGCTGACATGGAGATAATAGATATGACCAGTTCACTGTGCACTAGTACACTGCTAGATTCTGATAATTAGCACACTGCTGATGAGATTTACTACTACTGTTACTTACTGGTTAAGAACCAAGTATAGGTGGAATTGTAAGTCACCTAAATAGGGTCCATCCAGCCTTGGAGAGCTGTCTTGCTGGAGATCAGGCTCCCATCCCATATGAGGGGGAGAAGAAAAAGCACTGGTTACAGTCTCTGTTTTGGTTTTGCAAGTTCAATTACTTTTTTAGGTTGAGTCCTGTTTTATTCTTATTTCAATTTTTTTTTAATAAATTTGAAAACTTTTCTAATAAGTACCTTGAAGCATGTCTTGCAGCTGTTCAGTTTCAGTCAGTGGTTGTCCAATTGTGGTGTTACTTCTGTCATAGATGAAGAAAGCTGAAGCTGTTAAGAGTCAGGCTTCTCACTGTATCCCCATTCTTAAACAATGCTCTGAACAGGCGAAAAATCATGACCAAGCTTGAACTCTGAGAAGTTGTTTGTCAGAGAGCTTCTCAAAGGATGTGTTCCAAGGAGTATGTCCCTCCTGCCTCATACAGAAAATTGACCTTTAAGAACTAACTGTTTTAAACTAACTAACTGACTAACTAACTAAAGATAGTCTTCTGCTACATGCTGAGTAATTTGAAAGTTAACATACTGAACTTGACAATCTTTCTCACACCTCTGTTTCATAAATCTTCAGATTTTCTTGTAAAGCAGCATACAAGCAATGGAGTAGTGTCAAATAAAGTTAGTGTCCTGTTCCAGAGAATGTATTTTGGTTAGTCTCTTTTTTCCCTAGTAACAGCTATGGAAAGAGAGTAGTAGAAGATTCTGATACATAACTTGCTGTTCTTCACAAGTAGAGACAGAGTTTGAATTCTCAGATTTTTCCAAATTTTACCATTCTGTCTTTTGACATCCTTCATGAGAAGGTGACAAAAATAGCAAGGAAATACTATTATGGAGTTAAATGTTCTTGTTATATCTAATAGAACATAAGTTACGGCCATAAGTAGTTAGGACAACTATTTATGGTCTGCAAGATGACACTTTCAGAATAGGGATTCCTAAAATGCTGCCAAAATGTTTTTATCAATCCAAAACATTTTGTGCCCATTACTAAAATGGTATTGTAAATCCTTGTGATTTTTGACAGTCTTTGTGTGCACCCTATAAGTGAAATCACCACACAAGCTGGTAAGTTCACATGGTATGATACCAGTTTCCCAAGAGGCCAGAAATGTCTAATAAAGTTTACTTCTTTATTCCTTTTCCCACTGGTAGTACTTAGAGATGATGATTGAAGTTATCAGCACCAGGAAGGACTAAAAAAATGGAATCCAAGGAAAAAAATAATACTTATCTCTGAAACAGTTTTTAATGATAGTATTTGTTGTACGTTTAAGTAGCAGATAATTAGGACTGCTCTTCAGAATGCTTTTTAACTTACTTTGTTTTCTCATTACTGCATAAGTGTCTTCTAAATGTCTCTTCTGTAGAATTTGTGTCCCTGCCTGTTTGGCCTGATGACTGTGATTTCACACTTACCCTTATTTATTTGAAGCCATGGCCACCCTACTGAAATGTCATCAAGTAGAGCTCAGGTCTGCATGCTGACTGGTGATGCAAAGGTCTACTCTCTAATAAAATGCAGCCCATGAAGGACGAGCTCCAAAAGGCAGCCTACACCCTGTCTTCAAGCATTTGCTCTAATTTCAAGGCTTTGCCATGTGGTGTTGCTCAATGTGCAGTAAAACAAGTTCTTGCGAGCCCCTTGAGCATTCCTCCGCGTGTAGCAGATGAAATATTCAGGCTTTGTTAACTCTCCCACTCACCCCCAAGAAAAAAGAAAAAAAAAAAAAAAAAAAAAAAAAAAAAAAAACAAAAAAAAAAAAAAAAAAAAAAAAAAAAAAAAAAAAAAAAAAGCAAAAAAAAAAAAAAAAACAAACAAAAACAAGCCAAGACAATCAAACCCAAACCCAAACCAAAATGCCCAACACAAGTATATATTGGATAATCATTTTGCTTCGTTGCAAAGTGCTGTTAATTACAGAGACACTCGGTGCAGTTCTGGCATCTGAGCTGTCAATCTAAACACTCCCAACAGTGATTTTGCTTTGGTTGTGCTTTACTGCTTTGTGCAGGACAAAGGGGAGTAAGTGTTGCAATATAGTATTGTGTAATTCCTGACTTTTAAATAGAAAATGATAGGCAAGTCTGCATAGTCTTGCACACCAAAATATAGCCACTGATTTTTGCCACTCCCACTCTTCCTAACGAGGAAGGTGTATACTGGCTTCTGAAGGTCAAAAAGAGTGAAGGGGGAGAAGGGTAGAGAGATTAAGAGGTGTCAGTACCAGGAATATTCTGCTGTGAAGGGCCTTGGGCCACCTTGGCCTTAAAAGTCAGTCTGTAAGGTTGCCTCTAGTTTATAATATCTGAAGGTATTCTTAGACTCCCAGTGCAGCATCTTACCAGGAAAGGCAGCTGGGTCTGTGTTGCTGAATAAGTCTTTTGGTGAAGTAGCTCTTCAGCTTTCTGTGTTTTTCTGTTTGTGGATTTGTAGCACATTCTTCCAGGGCAGTTTCTCTTTCTTGTAGTGTCTCACCTAAAGTTGGCTTTTTGTTCCTGCAGTTTCTGCATGTACTAAAAAATCTTTCTGAGTTTTGGGGGACCACAAATGCACCCTCACTGTGTGATGTTTGTGATGGCTAATCTTGTGTGACTCAAAAGAGATCCCCTTAGAAAGGAGTAGCTCCAGTTTGGTGCAGACTGGGAAAGATTAAATTTATCATTCTTTGTGCAGTATGTCTTTTTGTCAGTTCAACAGGGGAACTAACTCATCAGATAAAGGAGAGCTCTTGGGCAATAGGACTCAGCTTTGAAAACCCCTGGTGATTTCTGGTTCTTGCTGAGCTGCTGTGATGCAGAAAACACTTAATGATCTGCATTACTATAATTACAATACCTTGCAATGTCATGGGCTGGACTGCTGGTAGTATCACAAAAGTTCTGTGGTCCTTCCTGGGATTCATGCCACATGCAGATTACAGAATCAGGGATTTCCTGTAACGGGCAAGAATCCCCCCTGTGCTGTGTCACCACCAGCATTTCCAAGCTCTCTTTTTGTCCAAAAGAGGTGTGAGCAAACTGCTGCTTCCTACAGTTCTTCAGTCCAAGCTGGTTCTTCATAGGCCTTCAGGCATGGCACTGAAACTTCCTGCATCAGGGTAGCTCTTCAAAATGAAAGGTGGAAGCAGAGCAGTTCAAACTGGGCTTTGCTCTTCCAGCAGCTTACATGCAACTAGTTGGTGGGTGGGTGTCTGTCTACATCCTTTCTTGGGTTTTTTTGAAGTTGGGTTTATCTGTACCTTCTTACTCTGCCTTACTAAATTAGCTGGCATAGAGGAAGCCTCTGAGAAATAGATTAAAAAACCCCAATGAAACAAAATAAAAAACCCCAATGAAACAAAAAACCCAATGAAACAAACAAACAAACAAAAAAAAAACCAAACAAAAAAACCACAAAAGCAACCCAAAACAGACACTAAAACAAGTAACTCTATATGGATATCATGGA